TACTGTCCCTTTAAGTTTTGAAGTATACGTCAACTGTATCACGTGACCCTCACTGCACGCCCGGGGGATAGCAACACCCATGACTATGAGTATGACTGAGTATGACTCTGAGCCGTAATTATTTACATTTTGATTGTGGTCCTTGTTTTTTTTAATTATTTATTTAGGCAATTATCCATCATATACAATACAATTTATACATAGCATACATTTACAATAAAAAATTCTGAATTCATAAAATTGGATAACTACCAAGGATATATTATTATTATACTTATAGGCCTATTAAATCATTTATTAATACTAATAGGCCTATTCCTAGGCCTATTATAATTATATTATTTATATATACACAAAAAGCATGACTAGCACACTTATTTACATTGTGGTCCTTGTTGGTCAATTCACGTGCGCATTTAAGCAAATATTGACCTGCAGTCTGCAGATGTACTAATATAGTATATACTATATAGTATATAGTATATAAAAAAGAGTATAAGCAACTAACTCACAACTAATAAACTGAAATGAAAACGACTAAATACAGAGTAAACGTTTTATCTCCATTCGTGGCCGTCAGGGGGCGATACTACACCGATCGCCACCTAGCGCTAATTTTGTTGTCCTCTGGTTCGTTCTGGTCGTACTATACGATTGACATTCAAAATGTCCTGTCTTAGGAATATTCGTACAGTTTTTCAAGGAAAGGGGGCAATCACACAACAGTATGTACATTGCCACTTCGAAAACGTTCATTATATTTTAACATTGTCAATGTTATTTAGGTTTGGCGATTTGATAAACAAACCCTTCAAGATTCATGCCTAGGCTAATGCTATTCAGGAAGACTGTTCTATTGTTAGACCCTTGAAGGAATTTTGAGCAATATTTAGGCATCATTGCGCAGTAGCGAAGGTGTATAATCGTGCTAGTGAAATTATTTTTAGGCGAGAAAAGCAGGTGTGCATATCGATTGTGATACTGACTGAGTAATGTGGATAACCCAATGCCAATGGCAATAGGCCTACTAAATTTAATGAATAATGACATGTGATAACCCAACATTGCTGCTTGCAACAAGAGTAGTACCGGCACTAAGTTACGCTCAAGCCAAGGGGTCGTTGTCGTATCAGGTACTACAGATATGTACCCGAGGTGCATATATGTATACAAAAAGTGTACCAGACTTGTACTACTGAAGTGTACCCTAACACTAACCTTAACCCTAACCCTAACCCTAAACATACCTCATATAAAAATATAAACGTAATACTAAACAACCTAAAACTACCGGCGTACCGCGCACGTGTCAACTCGGTTCACCTGCCAACTCGGTCCGTGTAGCGAGTTGACGCATCTGGAGATCGGTGAGCTCGGTTCGTGAGATGAGTCGTCGCGTCTGGAGATCGGTGAGCTCGATTCGCCGGCTAACTCGTGTGGTACTAACTTTAATATCTCGCGAACGATTTGAGTTTCATTTCTAAAATTCTAGATACATATAAACACATGTCTTAGCTATGGTTTCTGTGAATTTCTAATTCACAATTCCACATGTGCACAATTCCAGGAAGGAGTTTTGCTGTCGCTCTCTCATCCCAGCGGTGCCCCTCTCCCACATCAGTAATGAATATGTCCCATGTGACTTAAACAAATGGGCACTCCCCCCTCCTACAGCCACGCTGTGCAGGCTGGTGCTCTATTAATAAATCTGTAATGGTAAAACTAGGTGACACAGGTGCCGTTGGCTGCTATTTCAGCAACCTTTGAAAATAAAACGTGAAAATGTCGTGCAATCGCGCCCTTGCTCAAAGGATGTTAGGAATATTAGACAGCTAGAATTTTGTCAGTTTTCCGATCGGGCAACTAGCCAAGAGAATAACTTGTCCGACATAACTCACTTGCCCCGGTCAATCCAAAAACCGTTAGTGTCGAGCGCTGCTATGTACTATATCATTATCAGTAGAAGTAATTTAATTACTAGAACAATATTTACATTCATGATCGTTCGATGTACTGTAGACTTATAGTGTAGGTTACAAATACCATTGTTTACTTTGTGTAATTTATTGCACTTGTCTTTTTTGCCAACTTCGATCACCGGTTCCTTGGAAATACTAAAAAAATTTCCTTTAACCAATATTATTGTGGTCAATTTCAGGGTTATCAGAGCAATGGGGTCGCAAGGTGAATGGGGAAGTGGTGCTGGCAAAGGAGGAGGAGCGGGTGGCTCAATAAGGTAATATAACGTGTTTTTTAATGTATTTTTCTGAATTTTAATTATTGATATTGACAAATCAATTCAGGTACACCAGAAGTAGGTCATACTCTATATATATATATATTCATATTTCTTTACCAAAATTCGTTGCTGTTTTATGTAGAGAGTCTGGAGGAGCCTTTGGGAAGATGGAAGCAGCCCGAGAAGAGGAATATTTTAGAAAGCTGGTAAATGCTTTTACATTTTGCTATGATAGTTAGAACATATATATATACATATGTGCAATAGGTCAATTTTTAGCTCAGCTGACGAAGTCAGATGCAGCTTGTAGAATCGCATGATTGTCCGTCCGTCCGTCCGTCTGTCGGTCAACAGTTGGGCACAAATCTTAACCACTCGACATACGGTCTTGATATTCAGGACGTGGGGGGGGGGGGTCGCAAAAAAGACTGATGTCGAATTTGGGGGTCAAGGGTCAAAGGTCAAGATGTGTCAATGGAGGGGGAATATTTCCCCCTTAACTTAAGGTATAGGAGGAAATACGGAATTGCGGCACAAATCTCAACGACTCGGCCTACGCTCTTAATATTCGATGTATAAGGTGATGGGGATCGAGGAAACCCATCACCAGTGCAAAATTGGAGGTCACAGGTCAAAGGGCAGTGGGGGAAAAGGTCGGATATCAACATTTTCTAGGACTGGTCTAACGGACCGGAGGTGAAACTTTTTATGTTTCAGCGCTGACCTACTGTTTTTAGCCTCAATCTGACATAAGTCAGATGCAGCTTGTAGAATCTCTTGATCTTCCGTTCGTCCTGCGCCGTGCGTCAACAGTTGGGCACAAAATCTTAAAACCGCTCGACGTACCGGTCACGATATTCGCGGTCGTTGGGGGGGATCGTCAAAACGAGTTGGGATGTCGAAGCTGGGGGTCAAAGGTCAAAGGATCAGAGGTGTAAAAGAGGGGGAAACATTCAATCCTTAACTTAAGGGTTATGGAGGAAATGCAGAATTGCCGGCACAATCTAAACGGCTCGACCTGGCTCTGTGATAGTCGGTGTATAGCATCATGTAGGAAAGCCATCACCCGCGGGTGGCGAAATTGGAGGTCACAGGTCAAGGGTCAATGGCACAGGGCAGATATTTAGACATTTTCTGAGCGACATGGTCCTGACCGGTAGCGATTGAAAGACTTTTTGTTTCAGGGTACCGCTAGCATTTTGATGGCTTTATTTGAAAGGACATGAAATGTCCTTTCTGCTGACATGCGAAGAGTAAGTGTCGGATAACCTTTTGACGCACTCAAGCAGGGTTAGAACATGGATTTGTTCACTGAGTCCAACAAAGGACTTGAACTGCTTTTGCCTAGTGAATCCCCCCCCCCACCCTCAACCCCTTCCCCCTCCCCCACGCCCTCCCCCCACCCTCGTCCCACCCCTCCCCTACCGCCTCCCGCCCCCCTCTTACCTCAAGAGGAGGGTTAAAATGGATTTGTTGACTGTCTGTTAAGAAAGAATTTGACTGCCGGGTTTGCTAGATAGAATCTATACTGCCTGGATGCTATGAGGCCTACAATGTCACAGTGAATTTTCAAAAGCTAAATTTGCGTTAAAAAGTTTATGCTCCTTAAAATCGTATAATTTATATGGCATCTTCGTAGTGTCAGTAGTTACATGTAACGTTCACATATCCCTGCCAGTGCTGCTGCCAGTGCAATGAGTGCATGTGTTGCGGCAGTTTTGCCTGCGTTAATTTGTTGCAGTGGCCCCAGCTTCTCTATTTGCAGCCTGTAGGCATTGCGTTAGGTAAATGGATAGTGCTTACCTCACTTCTGTCTTGCAAATAGTTGTTGCTATCCACGAATGATGTGGAGCCTTCCATCTTTAATACTGAAGCACTTGTAAACGTACGCCGCCATCTCGTGGCAACTTTCATAACTGATCCCACGACATTCCTTTTTGAGAAGGTTCCTTGATACCATCTCTGTGCATTCCACATTTCGGCGTGTATGTGAACACATTTGGGACTACAGGGTTTTTACTAGAATCCCACCACTCCACCACCAGAGTCACGCTGCAGTAGACGTAGATGACGCTGCTGCGGCTTATGCGGCACTTTGTTATCACTTTATTGAAAGGACATGAAATTCTACTTTCGCGCTGACGTGTCGAAGAGTTAAGTGTCTGGATAAAACTTTTGACCCCTCAGAGGAGGCGTTAAACATGGATTTGTTGACTGTATTAACAAAGGACCTGAACTGCCTGTTTGCTATTGGTGGATGTGAGCGATACATGTGCACAGCTTCAATTGCAAAAGGGAAAAATGATTTGTTGAACAAGGTTTACGCTCCTTAAAATCATATTATTTTCTAAAGCAGTCTGTATTAGGCATCCTGATGTATGCACCCTGTATTAGCAACACTGAAATAATGAACCTTGAAATGCTCGCTTGGCTAGGCCAAAAACATGGGGCAGTCCATTAACGCATGTATGGGGGGTGAACTGCACTATTCAATCATAATTATTGCCTGGCAACCTGCAATTGCAGATGTGTTAACTCAACAGCTGAGCGAAAATTCTGCCTGCCGTGAATATACTTGGATTCAGCAACTCAATGGAGTGCAGTGCTTATTCATGCAAGAAGGTGAATGGCCATCTTTGATTATTGATCGACACTTGCACGCTCCCATCTCGCGGCATACTTGCTTTTTGCTATCAGAAGCCCCCTCACCCGCCCCTCTCCCAACTCCTCTTCCCCCCACCACCATGCACTACGCCGCGCTTAGACGCCATATATCTATGACAGACCTTGCCCAACTGTTACGTATGCCGTAAATTTCGTTACGGACTGCGAGTCAAAATTACGGTGTTACGGACGGACCTCGAGAAAATTACGGACAGCCAAGAAATCTCTGAAATTTATATTTTTTATGCACAAAAAAAAAATAAACACAGTGTTAAAATCAACCTATTATCAGTGTAACAATGACTACTGTGTCCTGTAGATTTGACTAATAGGCTCTTAAAACGTAACGGATCTCACTGAAAATGGTAAATTTATGCTGTGTTATTGCGCTCGTCTTTCTGGTTTATGGGCGCGCAGCCATTTTGAATGACGTCACACGGATCCAGGAATAGAGTTACGCGCACTTGAAGGCTATTTTGTGCTAATTATGTTATTATTATACTGAACCTAATGAAGACTGAGACAAAAGACGTGTTTACTGTACGAAATGCCTATTTGTTACGGGAAAATCCAATAATTATTACTGATGATCATCAGATGGGGTTGGCAGGTCTGATCTATGATAACATGTTAATATAGCGAAGTCATTAAAGTTACACAGCTGTATCTTTATTACTGTACTACCCGTATAGCAAAGCCAAGCTATCATCGATTTTAGATCTGTATTAGTAGTATCCTAGATATATGCTCTGAGTGCGAACGCGGTGATGGGAGGGTGCTCTTCATTTGTTTGCCAGTGAGTTTAACATCAGAACACCTGCCGTTAGGTGAGCGCTGTCGCTCTGCGGCACTTCTTGGATAAATTTCTGTTTGACGGCTGAGATTTGAGCGAGGCGGTCGCCTCGCTCGTGTCAATGCAGGAGGGGAAACACTGTGCAATATTAGTGATGAGCAGATGTGTTATTAATGTGGATTTGTAATCATTTCTGTACAGCAAAGCAAGCAGCTGAAGGAATTGAATGATTTGCACCAAGACGAGATTGGATTTCTCAAGGAACAGATCAGAGAGCACGAAAAGCAAATTCATAGGCATAAGGAGAAGCTGAACAACTTAAAGAAGATGCAGGATAATGCTAAGGAGTTAGATTAGGTTGCAAGCTGATGTTAATGCTGGTCTACAGGCCTAGATGTAGTCGTGTAATTCAGTTTTATATGATGTGAACATTATTGATAATGTTTTTGAAACAAATCCTGCTCTACAACTTCTTAAAAGAAATGGTAAATAATACATGAATGTGTGATCTGTTGGTAGAGGTAGGCCTGTTGCCTTCTCTCCTCAGCAATCATAAATTGTCTATCTGCTAGGTGACTTAATGTAACACCAGCCAGGTCAACACGACCTTACATCACACCTTACTTGTGGATCAGGTTTTAGTTATCAACTTGTAAGGTTTGTAGGTTATATTAAAGATGTTGCTGTTGTGTTAAAATCAAAATTATATTGCCTTTGTGTCCCTTCATGCATGTGTGAAATATCTTGAATCAATTGGCACATGAACTAAAGAAATATAGGTTGGTAATCTGTCCTCATCACTACATAGGGCAATGAACACATTTATTACGATACATTAGTACAGAAACCATAAAATTTGCATTATTTTTAAAAGTTTAATATTTCTGCATGCTTTAATCAGACTGCAGAAAGATTCGGAGTAACTAATGGATCTAACAGCTGTATAAGATGCTCTTCTACCTTCGCTACAAACTGTGGGAACTGAGGATCTGTAAGACACGTGCGCACAGCATTCTGAATCCGGTCGTCACAGCTTGCGTAAGGGGTGGCCTCCTGATATGGCAAGGGCAGGTTGCCTTGGTTGGCCAGCACTGACTGCAAAATATAATTACCATCTGAATAAATTCCAGTAAGCAAACACGAATTCAGATGGATATCTCTTAAGTGTTTTGCAGTTGGGAGGTCAGCAATGATGATTAAATGGCACATGTATAATGGTATTGCATTCGTTGCTGCAGCCTGAAGGGAAATCACCAACTACAATGACCAAATAGACAAAATTAGCAATGAATGCATGATTGCAGCCACCCACATCATACAATATTAACCCTGCCCATACGGTTACATCTAACATTATTTATATTGAATTGATTGTAAATATTCACATACAGCAAAGAATAGAAATATTTCTAGATATAAAGCAATATGTGTGAACTAAGACACGACAAGGTTGAATATTGTTGTTTTTGGCTAATCACAGCATTGGCACTAAGTCTATGAAAGGATAAGGAATGTTACCAACCAAGTAATAAAATGGTAAAATAGTCTGGGTAAATAACATCCCATTGCTCATCAACATTAAAGATAGATAACTGTGGCTGTAGTGAAATATAAGATACTAGGTAACCAAAACTTGTGGCAAAGCCTAATTATGCTAGCCAACAATTTCAACACACAAAAAACAAATTACTTGAGCCAAAGTCTTTAGAGGTACCGTGCCTGCAAGCTCTTCGCATGTCTTGCTGCATGCCCGCATATCCTAGAAAAAGAGTTATTGAGATTATCAGCAGTACAAGCTTAGTAGCTTACTGAACAGATTCATCATGGGTCGAAATCATAAGGGGCCCGCGGGCCCGATCCCCGTATTTTAAGGCTCGGGCCTGACATTACTAATACTAACAAGCCCGACGGGCCCGTAGAAAATCCACTCCCAGCATGCAAAACCGTCCCCGGCCTTTAAAATTTGCCTGGCGGGTCTGTAAAATCCCTTACCTACAGGCCCGGCTGGCCTGTAAATTTTCAAACTAATTTCTACCCCTGTTTATCAACCCAATTAAGAACAAAAGATATTCATTCTTTATCTTCTATAGCTCCCATATTCTGCTACCTGTGTTTCAGCATCATCACGTAAAGAGTCTTCTTGAGTAGCTTCGGTTGCTGGCTTGATGAGGAAGTACGAAGACAGCATTTGTACACAATCAAGGCAGTGACCATTGCCAGTCTTCTCCTCGTTGCTGTGAAACTTTACTCTGAACTTCCGGGCTTCATTCTGTTTTTAAATGTGAAGCCATGAGCAACAATATTGGGACTTTCTCAAGCTATTCTGCTTTGTAATAGGATGAAAGTACTTATAATTTATATGCTCCTTGTTACTAATAATTTTTACAAAACATCTACTCTGGAATGCGTCTTTTTTTATTTTAAAACGTTCTCACCTGGCTTTTGCAGATAATTAGCAAGCTGTCACCTTTCCACATGCCTTTCAGCTGGTTCATGCTATTCCACAGTGAATAACTTTCCTAAATGAGATCATATCCTAATTACATACATGTGGGTAAGAGTATCTGTTGTAGATTAGTTTAAATAGAAATGGTGGACTAATAATAAAAAATTCGTTTCTCTAATATCCACAATAATGTCTTCTCAATAAGTTTTGTTCACAATGGGGATTCTGGCAAATATGCTTAAAATATGCTAAAGAATCTGAATGAGATTGACTTGCCAGGATGATGTCAGCCTTCATTAGCATCAAACAATTGTTTTCAGTCACAGCGAGGATAACATCTTCAAAATACTGCAATATAAATTTATTAATTAAAACAGGCATATATAAAATATGGCTACTGTTAGATTCTGATAGCTATTCCGGTGTAGCTCCATCGCTCCTGCTACAGGCTTCCTACGAGAACTATAGCCCTTCGTTCTGCCGCAGGCTTGCGGCGGAGCGGAGGGCTATAGTTCTAGAGCTAGTAGCAGGAGTGAAGGGGCTACTGTACAGTAGCCACAATGTAATTGTTAACAAAAATATGTAGCATAGTATTGCTCAAGGGGTCGTTGTCGTAACAGGTACTACAGATATGTACCCGAGGTACATATATGTATACACAAAGTGTACCAGACTTGTACTACAAAAGTGTACCCTAACCCTAAAACTAACCCTAACCCTAACCCTAACCCTACTCTAACCCTAACCCTAACCCTAAACATACCTCATATAAAAATATAAACATACTAAACAACCTAAAACTACCTCGGGTACATATCTGTAGTACCTGTTACGACAACGACCCTTCGTGCCATAGTATTGGTATTGCGTCAACTTTATTCTAGAAAACCGAATTTGTCACTGCATTTTACATAATACTATCACTATTAATATTAGGTAGGTGGGTACCTTCCAGTATCCACTGGCATTGGTGTTCTCAGGAGTACCTGGCTTCTGGTAGAATCGTGCATACTTATGGATATTCCAACTGCTCTTATTTGATGATGATGCAGGTCTATACATTCCGTATTTACTTACTACAACAATATTATAATCATAGAAATAACATACTAGTTAGACTCTATATATTATATTCGCTACATAAACATAGTCTTAGCTACATATGTATGTGTTTGTATTTCTGAGAAACACAAACAAACAACTACTAGTAGTGCTCAAGGGGTCGTTGTCGTAACAGGTACTACAGATATGTACCCGAGGTACATATATGTATACACAAAGTGTACCAGACTTAATTGTACTACAGAAATGTACCCTAACCCTAACACTAACCCTAAACCTGACTCTAACCCTAACCCTAAACATACCTCATATAAAAATATAATACTAAACAACCTAACACTACCTCGGGTACATATCTGTAGTACCTGTTACGACAACGACCC